AATTTAAATTATTTTATTAATTATTTTAATATAATATATAGTTTAATATATATTTCAAAGACTAAAATTAACTTTAAAATAAAAAAATTATACTTATATAATTATTATTTTATTTTATATATTATTAAATTAAATTTTTTATAAAAAGATAAGATAAGATAAAATAAGATAATGTAAAATTACTTTAACAATTTACATAATTGAAGAAATATAATTATAATTAATTCATACTTATTATCTTTGAATTATATTTAAGAAAAATTTATTAGAATTGATAATTATATAATATTAAAAATGATAATAAAAAAATTACTGCAAATGATATTTAATAAAAAATTATTAAAATTTATTATAAATAATTTAAATAAACTTCAAAATTTTCTACATTAAATGTTGAAAATAGAAAAAAAAATATTGATTAAATTGTGCACAAATACTTTTGAAAAAATTTGATAAAGTTCTCGAGTTATCTTTTAATTATAAATAAAAATATATCTTTGTTTTTAATATCTATTTAACATTTGAATGTTAATTATTATTCTATATTATATATTGTTAAATTAATTTCTAATGAAAAGACAAGTAAATTATAATACAAATAAAAATATAACTTTTATTATATTAGTTTTTTATTTTCTGACTCTTCATATATTACCAAGTAGGACTTAATCTCTACTTATGTAAGTCATGTTTACATGACTTTTGAAAACTTGCTCATGGTTCTTTCTATTGTCATCTTTTTTTTTTTTTTATTTTACAATTATGTCAGCTGTCAAAAATTACCTACCCACATAAGTACATGTATTTTCGAGTAAGCATAAAACTGTATTTTTTTTTAAATGATACCATGTATTGAATTTTATTTTTAACTGATTAATTTGTATCAAATTTATCATTATTTTTTATGCTTTTGTAGGAGAACAACAAGTTGCAATGAAGATAAATTTAACGATCTGAATTCAACACATATGACTGTATCAAACTTATATCTCCAACCGTGGAAACACCAAATTTACCAAAAAGAATGAGGAAATTAATGTATAAATTATAATTTTATAATGTATTGTTCAAATTTCTTAGATCATACAATAATTTATATTTGATATTTTTTTTTAGGTCGCAACTTAAGGAAGATGAAGCAGAAAATGGTGAACAAAAGGCAACAATAGAATATTTAAAAGATTGAACTATTTTTATTGCAATGTTGTATAAATATTTTTAATATTATGTGGAATTTGAAAAGTAAAATGTCATCAAATTTATAATGATTGTTCAAATTGCTTAAATCATACAATAATTTATATTTGATATTTTATTTTACGTCACAACTTAAGGAAGATGAAGCAAAAAATGATAAACAAAACGCAACAATGAAAGATTTAGAAGATTAAATTATTTTTATTACAATATTGTATAAATATTTTTAATATTATGTAAAATTTAAAAAGTAAAATGTCATCAAATTTATAATATATTGTTCAAATTTCTTAGACCATACAATAATTTATATTTGATTTTTTTTTTAGGTCGCAACTTAAGGAAGATGAAGCAGAAAATGGTGAACAAAAGGCAACAATAGAATATTTAAAAGATTGAACTATTTTTATTGCAATGTTGTATAAATACTTTTAATATTATGTAGAATTTGAAAAGTAAAATGTCATCAAATTTATAATGATTGTTCAAATTGCTTAAATCATACAATAATTTATATTTGATATTTTATTTTATGTCACAACTTAAGGAAGATGAAGCAAAAAATGATAAACAAAACGCAACAATGAAAGATTTAGAAGATTAAACTATTTTTATTACAATATGGTATAAATATTTTTAATATTATGTAAAATTTAAAAAGTAAAATGTCATCAAATTTATAATATATTGTTCAAATTTCTTAGACCATACAATATTTATATTTGATATTTTCTTGTAGGTTACAACTTAAGGAAGATAAAGCAAAAAATGATGAACAAAATGCAACAATAGAAGATTTAGAAGATTGAACTATTTTTATTGTAATATTGTATAAATACTTTTAATATTATGTAGAATTTGAAAAGTAAAATGTTATCAAACATTTAAGTCTTTTATAAAATAATTTTTTTATCTTATTATATACATCTCTTTTACTTTATTATTATTGTTATTATTATTATTATTATTATTATTATTATATATATATATATATATATATATTATGTATTGAGTTTGTTCTTAACATAAAATTTGTCTAAATTTTATATGTGACTCATAAATTTATATTATATCAACTTGTGTAATTTTAATTAATATAAAGATTAATTTTTGTATTAATTTTTAGTTTCTATTTTAGATATTAAAATGTAATTTGAATTAAAAAAATTACATTTTTAAAATTATTAGTTTATATTATATATTGTTAAATTAAATTTTTAATGAAAGATAGGTTTACCTATTTAAAATATTTTATTAATTAGTTTAATATAATCTATAGTTCAATATGTACTTTAAATACTAAAATATATTTTGAATTAAAAAAATTACACTTACAAAATTATTAGTTTATATTATATATTATTAAATTAAATTTATGATAAAAAGACAAGTTTACATATGAAATTGAAAATACTATAAATAAGATAAGATAATTTAAAACTACATTAAATTAAAAATTATTGAAAATAATTATACTCATTTGCATAATTTAAGAATTATAATTAATTCATACTTATTATCTTTTAATTGTATTTAAGAAAAAATTATTAGAATTGATAGTTATATAATATTAAAAATGACAGTAACAAAACTATTGTGAATGATATTTAATAAAAATAAAAAAAGTAATATTGATTAAATTGTTCAAAAATATTTTTGAAAAAATTTGATGAAGTTCTCAAGTTATCTTTAAATTAAAAATAAAAATATATCTTTGTTTTAAGTTCTATTTAATATTTGAATGTTAGTTATTATTTTATATTATATATATTATATATTATTAAATTGAAATTTTAATGAAAAAAGCAAGTAAACTATAATATAGATGAAAAGACAACTTTTATTATATCTCACAATAGGATTTTATCTCTACTTATATAAGTCATGTTTATAGAATTTTAAAAAATTTGTTCACTCTTTTTTTTAGGTATCTCATATTAGACAGCTCACAAACCAGACTTTAAAGAGTCAACGAGTATAAAAGAGAAAAATTATATTTATTTATTGAATGACTCATCTGCGTATCAAGCATAAAAAAAGATCCTATTAAAGGCATACAATTGATAAGAAAGTGAGTAAGCCAACAACGTTCTTTTATATTTGCTTTTATGTGAGTCAGTCAAAGTTTAATAGACGAGGTATAAGGTGTGTTTCCCTCCTAAATCTTTGAGTTGGAGTTTGTTTTAATGATTCACCGTTCTTTTTATTGTCTTCTTTTTTTTGTATTTTGTAATCATGTAAGCTGTCAAGAATTACCTATCCACGTAAGTATATGTGTTTTTTAGGTTGATATTTTTTATTTAGTTTTACTAAATTGTGTTATATATTTTAATTTAATTTTTTGTGTAAGCATAAAGGTGTATTATTTTAAATGATATCATGTATTGAATTTTATTTTTAACTGATTAATTTATATCAAATCTATCATTATTTTCTTTAATACATCATAAGTAATTATTTATTTTTATGTTTGTCATGCTTTTATAGAGAATAACAAGTTTCAATAAAGATAAATAAATTACGATTATGGGATATACTAAATATATATCGTAAAAAAGAGTTAATTGATGAAAATGTATTAGTATTAATATTTTTTTTGTTTAAAAATTTATTATTTTTAATAAATTATAATTACATTATCTTTTATATGTTGTTGTATAATAATTAACTAACTTAATTTATTTTTAAATTTTCTAATTGATTAATTTTTTTTTCTTGTAGAGCAATTACACACATGTTTCCATAGTACGAAGTATTTTCTATTGGTTCAAATATATATTAAAGGAAGAAAAAAATATAATTCATAACAAAATTTTCAGTAACAAAGAACAAAGATAGATTTGCTGTTATTCAAAATAATTCTTTCATGTTGCAATTCTATGTCACTAACTATTATTAAGGAATTAAATGATAATAACATAAATTTTTACCATATCTTTAAGATTGTGAACTTTGAAGATTTGAAAAGTTATTATAAAAATAACATCTTAATAGCTATTTCGCTATAAAACTTTACTATCAAAATTTTTAGATTGAAATACAAGTTTTAATATTTTTAAAATTTTTTTTAAAAATATTCAATTACAAATACAAAGAATCATATTTTCTAATAAAAAATTCAGTCATTCTTAAGATATAAATCAAAATACAAGTATTATATATTTTTTATATAATATATTTAATATAATAAATTTTTTATTATATTTTTATATTTAAATTATATATTTTATATTTTAAAATAAATTAATTTTAAAAAAATAAAACAAACCCGTGCGCTGCACGGGATATTTACAGTGTTAAATGTAAACCGAACTAACTATACGATGTGTTTATTGAGGAGAATGCATTAATTAAATTAATCCTAAAGGGAAAAGAGGGGGGTGCAGGCACTTGTGAGGTGATTAAATGCAAGCCGAGTGTGGTGCTTCTGATCAGTCCAATATCCGCTGTCATTTTCGTAGAATCAGTATAGTATGCTAATTAGTATCATTTACCAATTAATCAGCTAAAATTCCTTGCATCTCCCTTTCAAATCAATTATTCCCTGTCACACCATTTTGCTTAAAAAATTTAGGAATCTATCTCTGAATGTAGTATTTCACATTAACTAACGATAATCAATATAACTAATTTGAGGAGAACAATAGGTACAACAGGATCTGCACACAAAAGTAAGAGGGTAAGGAGTTACCTGTCAATTAATTAACCAAAAATGTAATATTAATTAATTCATTAAATAATAATTAAAAAAAAGGGGTTTGGGTAACAGTTTTAAGTTTTAATGGGGGAGAGTGAACAGCAGAGGGAATGAAAACAATTAAGGGAGTAGAAAGAGAAAGAGAAAGAGAGTTACAAAAAGCAAAGGCAGTGTCTCTCTCTATCTTTATTCTTTATTCACCCTCATAGTTTGATCGTATCGTATGCAAATTGAAGACAGTGATGGCAAAGTCGAGTAGTGTTCCGACGTCGTTTCCGGCGATAAAGGCAGAGCAATACGCACACAGCGCAGTCCACAAAGCGGTGGCAATTGGAGACCACGCCGCGCTTTCTAGAATCATTTCTTCTCTACCCCGATTCCCTGACCCGGCCCAAATCCAAACCGAGTCTGACTCGCTCACTCAGGAGCGACTCGCCGACAAAATCTCCGCTGTCTTGGACCGCCGGGACGTCCCATTCCGGGAGACACCTCTCCATCTTGCCGTCCGTCTCAACGACATTTCCGCTGTGCGAGCACTCGCCGTCGCCGGTGCCGACATCTCCCTCCACAACGCCGCCGGATGGAACCCTCTCCAGGAGGCTATCTGCCGGCGGGCCACTGACATCGCTCACCTTCTCGTGCGTCTCCACCACCGTTCCGCCTGGGCGAAGTGGCGGCGTCGCCTTCCTCGCCTCGTCGCCGCGCTCCGCCGCATGCGCGATTTCTACATGGAGATCTCCTTCCACTTCGAGAGCTCCGTCATTCCGTTCGTCGGAAGAATCGCCCCCTCCGACACCTACAAGATCTGGAAGCGCGACGGCAACCTCCGCGCCGACACCACCCTCGCCGGCTTCGACGGCCTCAAAATCCAGCGCGCCGACCAGAGCTTCCTCTTCCTCGGCGACGGCGACGCCGCACACGACGTCCCCTCGGATTCCCTCCTTGTGCTTAACCGCGACGACCGAAAAATCTTCGACGCCTTCGAAAACGCCGGAGCTCCGATGAGCGATTCCGACGCGGCGGGATTCTGTGCCCAAACCAGCGTCTATCGTCCTGGCATGGACGTGACGAGGGCAGAGCTCGTGGGAAGAACCAATTGGAGAAAACAAGAGAAGACGGAGAACGTGGGAGAGTGGAAAGCGAGGGTCTACGAAGTGCATAACGTAGTTTTCAGTTTCCGATCTCGGAAAGTCGCAGGTGGAGAATCTGACGTGGCAGGGAGCGAACAGGTGCTGCCGTTAGAATTGGATGAAGACGAAGACGGTTTTCTCGTGGCGGAGAATCCGAGTTTCGGAATGCCTTTGGGTGGTTCTGACAAGAGAAGACATAGTAGCTTCGTTCGAGAAGAGAGGGAGTGGGTCCCACTCGGGAGAAAAAGCGTGGATTTGCCTTCCGTTACGGTCCAACCGCCCAGAAGGTCATCGGCGTCGGGTAGAGTTGCGCTGCCGCCTCCACCGGCGACGAAAGAGAAGGAGTATTTGAGAAGCTTGCGGCCGTCTGTGTGGCTGACGGAGCAGTTTCCGTTGAGTACGGAGGAACTGTTGCCGTTGCTGGACATTCTGGCCAACAAGGTGAAAGCTGTGAGGAGGCTCAGAGAGTTGCTCACTACCAAGTTTCCGACGGGAACTTTTCCGGTCAAGGTAAGTGACTCTGTTAAGTGGTTGACCGTTGCTGTTTGTGGTGCGTCCCACAAACTGAACAAAAACTGAAAATTATTAATTTAATAATTGGTTTTTGATGTGATTGACGATGTGGTTTTTTCGAAAATTCATGAATGATTTGATGTGTGATCGGACGGTGGTGATGAAAAGTTTGTGTTTTTGATGTTTTGGTTTGGGGGGCAGGTAGCTATCCCTGTGGTCCCTACGGTAAGGGTGGTGATCACGTTCACCAAGTTCGTAGAGCTGCCACCGTTGGAGCAATTCTACACGCCATTTTCGAGTCCGAGGTATTTGCTGGATGCAGATGATGATGACGATGAGAAAAAATCAGGAACTGGAAGTCACGCTTCTTCTTCTTCATCTGGGGGATCCACGTGGCTGAGGCGAAGTGGTAGCCAATCCAGAGGTGCGGGGAGTAAGCACCAACAACGATCTTCTTCTGGGGCTTTGGATTCAGACCCTTTTGCTATTCCTGCTGGGTATACGTGGACCAATCATGGGGATGATAAATCACGCAAAATGAAGAAGTCCAAGTCTGTCAGAAAATCCAAGTGAAACGCGCTTGGCACAAGAAGCATGCGTCATTGGGAAATTTTGAAGTTGAATGCGAGATATCAGATATGAAAGTATTGTATTGTGGTGCCAAAAGCTGCATTCATTGTAGTGTAAATATCCCCGTCTTTATTTTTAATTAATTAACTGGGGCTTTGGGAAAACGGTGCTTGTTCATAAGGAGAGGTGGCGCAGCAAGTTTTCAGAAGTTAGAACTGCGTTGCATGGCTCACAGTTTTGTTTTATCTATCTTTAGTTATATGGAAATTTTTTATGGTTTTGTTTTTCATTTTTGGATTTGGTGCTGGGGACAGGAAGAGAGATCAAATTTGTCGTGCTTGCCTTTGCTTTAATATCAATTTATTATTGCCAATATTCTTGAATGGGGCCACGTTTCCTAGTCGTATTGGCTATTTCATTTACTGACTCGTGCTAGTTTAGTTTAGGCTATAATACTTTATGATTTTTAACACCCATGAATCTTGGGATCACGTAAGAATTCAGTATGAGAAAATCCATTCTCATTCACTCATCACGCGGATGCGGATATAAAAGTTAGCAATTATATGGAGAGAATGTGAATCCTCGAAGCGTATATTGTAAAGTTTGATTATGCCCTCAAGCTGTCCCCATCCTTACTGATATTATCAAGGCAGCAAGGTTGAGGGTCAACATTGACCAGCCGCTAAATAGGGAGCAAAACGGTAAAAAACTCCATTTTGGACTTGTTTTGTCAAAAGTCGTCTTAATCGTGAACCAATTTAGCATGGAATGTATTATTACTACAGAAATGTACTGCATATAAGACCTTGTTCAAGTTTTGCACTAAAACCTACTAGTGCGCTTTTCTGTGGAAGCACAACGCATTCAACCAGCACCATTTAGAGCAGAAGAGCTTGTGGTTTTTGCCAATTATGCATTGGCAAGATATGTTTGATGTTCGTATTATACCTAGGAGAATGACTAAAGAAAAGATGAGACAGCCGTGTTTACCCCCTCTTTATTTTGACTGCAAATAGCGCCCAAGTGTTGAAAGGGATTCACAATTGTACTTTTGTGACGTTCATTTGAAGCAGGCTCCACTGTCCTTTAGCCTGTCTTCGCATACAAAGATTCATTCTCCCTAGACACCAGTACAGAAGACATTTCCTGTAATCTTTATTCCTCTTTCCCCACGCTTTGGACTAGGCTTTCCCTTTTTCTTCTTAAAGTTTCTGATTGTAACCTTGAACAGATCTTTAATTCCAATAAATCATAAAAGCTCAGCACCCCTAAGAAATCCCCGGAAGGATAATTCTAAACAAATATCAGAAATTTTTTCTTCCTTTTGTCTGTGAAAAATTGCATATTTTGCACAACACATAAAAGTGAATTATAAGCAATAACATTGGCATAAAGATTGTTACTCTACAGCAGCTCTTCTCCCCTAGGAAATGTTACAGTAGATTTTATATTTAACAAAAAAAAGAAAAAAAAAACTAAAGCACTGAACGAAGTTGATGTTAGAAATCTAAAGATACTAACCGGACGCTAATAATATTTATTGTACCTTCAAAGTACAAAAGGTTTCTGTTTAATTTAACGACTAAGTTCGGTGGATATGTGTTGTTTTGCCTCCGAAGCGTGGGTGATAATACGGTGATTGAGTGCAGTGTACTGTATAATAAATTAAATAAAAGAGACACGGACAAGGAAAATCCGTTGATATAAGTGGACAAAAAGTAGTGCGAAGATTATTAAATAGACAGATACTTGGGGCCTGCTACAATCTTACCGAAGCCGAACAAGACACCTAGCGGGATAGCTAACTACCAATGCTGGCCGAAGCATCACAACTATGAGATAAGGTTAAGGATAAAAAATTAAATTAAAAAAGTTTGCTCGACCAGGTCGAAAAACTCAAATTGGTGAGTTGCCAAGTCCTGCTGTGAAAACATAAAAGATGAATTGGGAAAGAAAAGACAATGTAACAAGGATGTCTGGCCAGCCCTCTATATAGCTTCCCTTTTGTTCTGTTTAACTCCTCTTTCTGCATCTAACTCTAACCGAGTCATACGAGGTATTATTCATGTCTCTAAGCATTATTGGTGTTTCCAGTTTTCAACTCTTAGACTCGACAAATATTTGTTCATTTAAAAATTCCTGAGTTATTTAAAACGGTTCTGAAAATCTTTATTATGATTCAAGGGCAATCGCCATATTGATGTGACAAGTGCATCATTTTTCACAGCAGGCATTTCTTCCCAAAAAGGTTTTTGTTTTTGTTTTGGTTGTTTAGCAGTGATTTATTGAGCGATTGTCTCCTTGTGATGAAAAGTTTGAGATTTCTCTACAACTCTAACAAAGGTTTAATGATTAGTATTATTCTTTTATTGTACTCACGGCACCTAGGAAACATGGGCACCGAAGCACCTAGTTGGGCTGATCAATGGGGTGCTGGCGATACGGAGGATGATGACACTAGATCCCAAAGAGACATTGGCAAGAACAAGAATTCAGTTGCCAAGGGCGGTTTCACCAAAGTCAAAGCAGTTGCAATGATAGGTGTGCAAAAGATTAAAAGCGGGGCCTCAATTTGTGTTACATGGATCAAAAATCGATTCAAAAGAAAGAGCACAACCATATAATTGGCAAGTATATATATATATATATATATTCTGTTGGGGGACGGGATAGAAAGGAGAAGTCCAAGGATAGAACAGTTCCAATATCAATTTAGGCGGTTTACATCCCACTGTTTTTTCTAACATTCCGTATGAGCCCACCAAAGAGTTGGTAAGAATAAACGTTCGCGCGAATGTCACTTCTCTCCAAATGTTTATATCAACAATACTCCTCTATAATTTTCACCCAAAAGTTAGCATCATAAAGTGGATGATGTTACTGAAACTAAGCTATGGAAAAATCAAATGCCCACGCATCGGAATTCTAAATTCATCCATTGAAATTCATAATTTAAAGATAACGAACATAATTGAAGTTTAGGATAACAATCTTCAACAGGCCAAGTATTTATTGATAATTAGCTGCAGAGAATTTACATTTTACAGGAGCTATTTACAGAAGGTAACATACATTATGCCTAATGGGATCCGAAGGTGTTCTCTCCACTATAAGTCATGTAAAGAAAACCATCTTGATCCTTATTTTCCTCATAAATAGCAGACATCAATGCAGCTGCAATGAGAAGGGATTAGTACATAAGCATTGCCAAGAGGATAAAAACAACATTTGGTATGACTGGATACTTACCAGTTGGTGGTAGAGTGTTATTGATGAAAACAAAAATAGCCTTCTCTGCACTGAGCTTAATCCTTTTGCGAACAACATAAACAAACTGGCCAACAGTCAAATCAGCTGGGACAAGGTATCTACATCATCACAAAACAGAATCAATTGAGAATCCGTTAATGCAGAAATCAGATCAATCATAAGCATTGATCAAGATTAATATACCTAACCCTTCACTATTGGAATATGGAAAGAAAACCAAGCCTGGTCCTCCAATTTTCAATACTCATCTCTAGCTTTTATGCTTCAATATTTGAAACATACTAAAAAAATATCAAACTAGAATCTTACATGGAGGTAACTTCATTGTCAAGATGGATAGATCAGATGAGATACTTGGATTCAAAAACTTATCCATAGCCATTCAGCACATGCATATGCAGCATGCCCTATTCAGTAATCAAATTACCAGAAATCCCTAAGCAAAAACATGGTTTTATATCAGTAATCAACCACATATTTTATTCCATTAATTGTTCTTCAAACTAAATCTTATTAAGATTGAGCAGTAGTGTCCAAGGCTGCAGCACCAGTGGTCAATCAGGCCACTTGATCGTAGCCAACAATTTATGGCTTGGCCAAATACACCCACTCACTTTGGCCAAATAGATTTCCCAATAAGATTATCATTTGTACATTTTGGCTTCACTTGTTAATCTTTGACAAACACCATATGAAAATGAAGTTATGAAGCGGCATACAATTTTTTTTTATATCAAACGTGCTTCGTATCTAACAATAATGCAACATCATTAAATATTGATCAACATCAGGACCGGCATTTTATAAGAACATCGAAGTGTCAACTCAACATGAGTGCTCCATTTCACACTTTACTACCTTGACTGCCTGCAACTTTTATTACATTACTTAAAGGACAAAATACGAAACTTGTAAAATCTTCAGAAAAAGCATAAAGACGCCCATCCCCCCAAAAGAATTCAGACAGCAAAACAATATTATCAGGCCTGAAAACTAATCAAATGGTAAAGAATAGCTTAAGAAAATCCCTTACTTCTTCTTATCAATGTCTGGAATATCACTTCTTTCAGCTTTCTCCACAATCACCTGCACAGAATTGCCATATTTGAACAAGAGTACTTTAAGACAGAATAAACAAAGCATCTAAACTGAGTACAATCTTACAGGTATTCTATCAGGATACTTCTCTCTAATGCGAGTAGCTTCAGCCTGCCTTCTCTCTGACACGTAAAAACACCCAGCTGTTAGTTAAGTCCAATGAATCAAAGGTTTTAGAATCTCAAAATAAAATAGGCCTGTAAACATAGCAAACACGTTTAATCTTCCATCCGCAAAGATAAAAGGCTAAAGATCCTTGTCATTTCTCACTAATTTCAATTGCATGAATGCAAACAAAAACATTTTTTTTACAATAGAAAAGGCATGGACGTTGAATTCGACCCATCAAAATGTTCCGATACCCAACAAATACCGGAAAATAAGAAATGGGAGGAAAATTAAAAAAAGGAAAAAGTACCCAAAGGATGTTGAAGTTTGAAGGAGGTTTTGGCCATGATGAAATTGGAAGAGTAATTGGAATCTGCGAATTTCAAACACCGAAACATTAGAATAAAATTGAAGAGAGCAAGGGAAAGAGAGCATAAAATAAAATTGACAAATCGAACATGAAAGAATGGATGATTGAAATGTGGGACTTGCAAGGCCAAACGAAAGAGGCTATGTCTCTGTCTAGGTGCGAATGAGATGAAATGGATGAAGTTGAAATTAGGGTTTCGTTTTGTGTTGTTTTCTTGCTTGGTTGGTTGTTCTGATGTCTTCGAGTGGAACACGGAACGTCTACTTGTACGTTCTGTACACGCCTTCAATCGACCTTTCCCAAGTAAGATTCGCTGTGCCTCTGTTACTCTACACCTTCTTTTTTTGGTCAAGAAAGTTGTCAATGGGTGTGGGCTTCTCCGTCACTCTGCTCAGCCCAGCCCATTATCAAATTATTTTTTTATAAATGTTTTCTACCTTTCACCAGCAAAAAAAAATAACAAAACTGGGCTCGATGTAGTCAAACCAATAGGATAGGTGAGACAAGTCAAAATAATCAACATTCACTTTTAGATTAACTTTAAATATATAGTATAGGTATTTGGTCCCTTGAGACACTGACTTTGTTTTATTTTTTGGGCTTTTTAGCCCTCCTATTTAGCAAATAAAATATATATATATATATATATATATATATATATAATATTTAATATCTATGATTTAGGTGCTTGAGATCTACTTATAAAGGGAACATGTGAAACTATAACTTTTATTGGAAAATCAATAGCTAAAATTTAACTAAATTATAAAGTTGTAAAATTTAACTAAATTTTTTAATCAACGGTTAAAATATGATTTTACATTTTTAAAATGCATCTCATACTTTTGAAAAGCTAAATTATTGTCATTTATATCGGATGTTGGATTTATCATGTATCTTGTTACATACTTATATTATATTTGTACGAATTGACTAAAAGAAATAAATTTGAAATTTATATATTTTTTAATACATATGCTTTATTTTCTTATGTTTTTAAGCAATGTAGTTGTTTATATGTTCTAAAAGCGACAAGAAAAATAAAAACAAAACTCACAAGCAAGTCTGTAACTCTGTATGCTCACAAGTGATGAGTACACAAACTTGAGTTTTAGGGGCCCATTTAAGGAGTAAGTTTTTAGATAAGATAATATTAGTTGGATGTTATACTAAAATTTCAAAAAGCTTCTATTAATATTTAAATTTTAAAAATAATTTATTTTAATAATTTTTTATACCAAAAAAATAAATATTATTTTATAAAGTTAAAAATTAATAATATTTTAAAAAATAAAATACCGAAAAGATCTTGAAAATTACTCTTGGTTTATTCTTCATTGAAGTCATTGACCAACTAGGTCCGACTGGTTCTACAAACCGAGTGTACAACCATCATTAATTTTGTTATAGAATGGTTAATGTCAATTGATAATTGCTTAAATGAAAGAAAAAATAAAAAATAACTAAACTATATATCTCCTCTATGTTATGTACTAATAAGTACCTTTATGATAGTTGATAAATATGACATATACTTTTTTTAAATTAACAAGACCTTAATAATTATTATAAAAGTAATATAAAAACCTATAAAAAGATGAAACACTGGGTGTGACATTTTCTATAAGCCGAGGTCGTAGATTGTTACTAGTTATGATCCATCACCACATCTTTAGTTTTTCACGGGTCAATGGTGAACCCATTGAGGGCCACATTGTAAGTTTCTTCGTCCCAATACAACAAAGGCCACTGGCCCATAGCCGCTTACTTCATAACATTGGTGACATTGTTTCTCTTCACACTCTCAACTCTCACCTCCAGTGGTGCCTATCAAAGTGTCTTTACCTACCCTTTTCAATTACCTTCACTTCACAAGTACAGGACCCCCACACAACATGGATCTCTGTTCTTCTTCTTCAACTTCCACACAAACAAGTCGTTGTGAGCAGGCTTCAAGCTTGAAGAAAAGGTGCTTGAAGGCAGCTAAGGAACAGAGGTCAAGGCTCTATATACTAAAGAGGTGCATTATTATGTTACTGTGTTGGCAAAAGTACGACCACTATTGATCATTGAAAAACACTGTTTTTTGCTATGCATCTCTTTATTGCATGTGGACACAACTTAACTATACCACCTATATACACCCTTTTTTTATGAGGTAAGGTAACCTTGGAGTTAATCACAATAGAGGTTGTTTGGTGTTGAATTTCATTCAATGACCACTTTATTCCACCTATGAACTATGTTGGAGGTTTCATTCAAAGGGTTTCCACATTGAAGAAAATACTTGTTTATTTAAAATTAATACTTGGATTTTATTAGCTAGTATGATAGAAGGAGGTGAAATATGAGTTGCAGCCTTCGAGAGTCTTCATGTGATTGTGTAAACAGCTAGCAATTACTCAGTTGAGGTTGTATTTTTTGGTGTGGAAGAAGGTGAAAGAACAAACATTATTTCACATGAGGATAGGGACAGAACGTGGCTATTAAGTACAGGTGCTTTTGGTAGGACTTGGGTCGAGAATATGGGTTTGGCATCTTTTCTGCATGCTTTGCCAGTTTACATTTTATAAAGCTGTAATTTCAGCAAGAATCTTTACCTTTTCTCCCTTTTTTTTTCCCATTACCGTTCTGCAATAGCATCAATCATGTAGTGTTTGGGCCTTTCAACTCCAAAATTTCATTTTTTTGTTTCCTTGTAGCTAGCAATTTATACTACCTTGGTTTTGTTAATATGAGACGAGAGCTAGAAACAAAGTGCATTGATTGTGTGCTAGTTGTTTACCCAATTAATGTCGTTTCATATGCTTATATCAAATACAATCAACTGAGTTGTATTTAAAAAGAGATTTGCTATATTTATCTACGTTTTCTCTTAATAATTCTCTTATTACCTTATAAAATAATTGTTTAATAAAAAATTAGATATATAATGCATTTATTATCTTTACAACATATAAAATATTTAATAATTTCTTCATTTAATAATTAAGGTAATTTATAACCATAAAATGGAAAAGGATTTAGAATTATTCATTTAAATTTTAAAAAATTGTCAAAGCAACAAGCTGCCTTTTAATTACAAATTTTATATTAAATTTGAATTTTCATTTTTGACAATTTTTAAAAAAATATATTTTTTAATAAAAATTTTTGTTAACCTTAACTCTTGAGTTTAAACATTCACAAATAGAAAAATTTTATAAAAAAAAATATACAATTATTATATTAAAGTTATAAAAATATAATAAATACATCTCTTTCTAATAAAATTTTACTATTATTAATTACTTATCTTTGATTGAAGTTATCAAAACGCTTCAATAACATAAAATATGACTTTTCACATATCAAATATTTTGTATTTTGTCTTTTTAAAAAAAATAAATTTAGTCAATTTCAATTTAATTGATTATTGTGTCAAAAATTTTCATATTTATAAATTATATTTAAAGTCTATAAATTTAATTTTGAGATACCATGTCAACTTAATAATTGGTTCATACAATTTATTTTCATAATTCATTTTAATTTCAAAAGTCTTATATATTTAATTTGTTCCCATATGATAGTTTTAAAATTTTCTTTTTAATTAATTTATGCAATAAAATAAAATGGTCAAACTACATTCACACCTTGTGTATATAAGTGATATTGTGCTTGAATTAAATATATTATGTATTTTTAACATAATAAATGTATGCACTTTTTTATTTAATATTTATTTTATAAAAATATATAAAGTCTATATTACAAATCAGGAGATGTTTATGTTAAGGAAATAAATTACAATATCACTTAAATTTAAAGAATATGAATATAATTTATCTAACGTACTTTTTTATTCTTGCAATAAAAACATTTTAAGAAACATGGTTTCACTATTTGGTTGAGAATGATCCTTTGTTATGGATTTCATTTCAATTTGTACTTTTAAATGAAAATACACACCCAACGCATTTAACTTGCTTAGCATATTTTAACGGATTAACCGATTTGATTACCTTTAATATGAATTAAACAAACAATATAATAAAAAGAGCAAAACACGTATTACAAAAGTAATAGTTAAATATATTACTAACAATAAATTTTGTTTAATAATAAATATTTTTTTAATAAAATTTTCAATTGATAAATGTTTTAAAACTCGGACGTATATATCTCTCTTTTGCGTGTGTTTTACCACTTCTAAGTTATTTTGGTCAATTTTATTCCTTAATGTTGCATTTACTTTCAAAGATAATATTCTGAAAAAAAAGTAAAAGAGTATATTATTATTTAATTTTAAGCACTGAAGAGTTTCTTTTGGATTGACTGTGAGTCTTTTAATTTTAATTTTTAGTTGTAACAAATAAATCATTTTTTAATCTCTCTTTAAAAATATTTAATAAACCACTGCAATCACCACCATTTTTTTTTATCATCACCACCCATCAATTATCTCTTCTTATTGTAATCCAATAATCCTTGTTCTTGCTGCCTTCACAATAATTGTCATGTTTGTCATTAATGGTCATTGCCATCACCATAATAATCATACTTATTGTAACCATTGTTATTATCAACTTCTTTATCTTGAGCTGCTACCAACTGTACCGTCATCACATTATTAGTGTTAATTATAATATAGTTGTTATTATTAACACACTTGTTGTTTTTTTATTATCATTACCATTTTCATCATTATAAGTTTACTAATGTTGTCACTATAACTTCCATTTTCCTTTTGTCCTCTGGTCCTAATATCCCTTTATTATTAAACAAGCTTAGTTAAAAATAAAAAATAATTTTGTGTGATGTAAATTTAAAATTTGATATTAAAATTTAAAAAATGAAATTCACAAAATTTGAAATTAAATATTATAAAACTAAAAATTAATTTAATTTTAAAGGAATTCAAACTTAAAACTGTGAATCAGCCAAACCTATATCTAAATTAAGCATTTTTATTGACTTTTCCCTCCTAAGACCTTGCCTTTGAAAACAGGTGCAAAAGTAAAAGAAAGAACGAAAATCCCTGGCCAAGTTGATATATTAAGAATACTAATAAATGAATATCAAATATATTTTATTTAATATTTTGAAGCATTTAAAATTTAATTATTGAATAATATTTATTTTTCGTATAAAATATACTTTTAATTTTTATAAAAACATTTTTTTTTACTTTTTAAATAATACCCATGTTTGATTAGCATTTACCTTGTAAATTTTGTAGATATATAAAAAGTTTCAAAAAGTTTATTGATTGTTATTATCATTAATATTTAAAAATATTAAGCAAATTATTTGTTA